GCTGTCGCTCATTTGGTCTATTTCTCTCACACCTTCCATTGTGTCACCGCACTCTCGGTGACACACAAATACACACACACGCCCAAGTGTAGAGTTTGCGTTGTGCTCAAAAGCCGCGCAAGTCGACGCAATCGGATTTCGCGCATTTCTGTGTGTGTGTGTGAGTGTGTTGGCCTGGCTACTCTGGTGAGTCGGTGGGTGTGTGTGCAGTGTGTGCGTGCAGGGTGTGAGACCTATTTATCCTATCGTCATGGTCGGAGCTTGCAACTGAGGCCGTCAAAGTGCACTTTCCGGCATACATTTATATCACAAATACACACACACACATACGCACGCACGCACGCACGCACGCATGCAGGCAGACAGGCGCAAACGGTGAACGAGTCTCCACCACGTGCCGGCTCCGTGTCCAGCTTCGTGGCTGGCTCGCCGGCCCGACTGTCCCCCTCTGTCTCCGTGTCGCTCTCCGCACCGCTTTAGCACACACACACACACACACACACAAGCAGCGGCGTCTATCTGGCCTCGCCGCCTCCTCCCGCCGCCCCGCCAGTCAGGGTGCGAGTGCGACCGAGGCACGACGCCGCTGCGGTTGGGACAGGCCCGGGCCGGGCAGGTGCAAGCGGGCGTCTCTCTCGCCGCCTGTCCGTCGCTGATTGGCCGCCGTCGGGCCCGGGCCCGGGCCCGGGCTTAGCGTCATCGCGGTCCACTGGCCGCCACCTCTCCCCACGCGGCCGGCCCTCTCGCCGCCTCTCGCTCTGTCCGCCTCGGCGTCTGTCCGGCCGACACAGCGGCGGCATGAGTCGCTCCGGCGCAGGTGCCCACTTGTCGACAGTCTCGCCGTCTTCCCCATCCTCTGTCTGTGTGCGTGTGTGTGCACACAGACAGACACCGCAGTGCCGCCGGCCGCGTCGGGCTCGACTGGCCGTCGAGATTGGCCAAGAGGTCGTCTGAGCTGTCTATAAAAGGAGGGCCCGATCTCTCCTCAACCATTCTCAACCGCTTCCGGTCCTCACCTGCACCTGCACCGGCACCCGACCACTCTCGCCGCGAGTCCCTCCGTCGCTCTCTCTCTCTCTCTCACACACACACACACACATACACACGAACGCACAGTCCGTCCTGTCGAGCAAGCGA